CCTAAGAATTACTTACTTACTTATCATAAACCTCTCCATCAAAGTCCCTGCGTATTAACTGTACCCCTGGACCGAACAATGTCTATTCCTCTTTGTTTCTTTTACGATACTTATTTGGCAGGAAAGACGCTGCTAAAAGTAACGGTAACGGGGGGCACTAAAGCAAGCTCGACAAAAGTCTATACAAAGTGGCTCACGAAAATATACGGACGTTTATATTTGCGAACTTTAGTGAACGAAATAATATACAGGGTGTTTCAAAAAATTATATGTCACGACTACCATAGCGGAATTTTATACTTCTGAATCGATGGAGATCTCTTTAAAAACTGGACCACAAAATTAATCTTCACTGAATATAATATCGTATTAAAAATAAGGTACGCTTAAAAATCATTGAAACTTCAGCTTTACTTTTTGTGTGGACGGTTGACTCGAGACGTATGTCCCTTTCAAACTTTTGTTCATTGCGTTTAGTAATATACGATACAATATAAGAAAAATTTGCAATCTTTCGATCTTTATTTTCAAGGTCCAGGTCAATTTTGCGATCCATTTTTTAAAGAAATCTCCATCGATCCAGAGAGTCTCGGTATGATAGTCGTGACGTATAATTTTTATACACCATATACATTAAAATAGTTTGTTTAAAACATTTCGTCATGTACAGTAAGAGCGAAGTCTGAAGATTATGTAAGGAATTGTTGAAAATAATGTTCAAGTAATTCTAAATCTGTATACAAACAAAGAAAAATAATAAAAGCAGTCGCAATGACTCAGAAAAGAGTGCTTTGTCGCTTCGTTCTGGAAAAACGGCCAAGCTTCAGACCCCATGGGAAGGGCCTGATTTATGACACCCTCACGTCTTTGGACGTTGTCAACTCGTGACTTTCTCGAATGCTTACTCCTTCTGCGTCATTCTGTTTTGTTACAATTATGTCAGAAAAATGTGATAAAATTAAGTAGAGTTCACGGAAATGAGTGGGACGGCGTTCATGGATGTGAGAGAGGGATAAAGTAATATTATTTTTTCCAAAAATTTATCGTTTTAACTTTGTACTACATTTTTTAGACTTGTGGTAGAGATCTTACGACTCATACAACTTTAATCGTTTTTCCTCAATTATGAAGCGGAAGTTTTGGGAATTGGTGGGAGGGGGTGAAGGGATGTGAAAGAGGGATAAAGTAAGAAGGTGAGCGTTTTGGAGGTTTTAAGATAATAAAGGCACTAGAGGAGCGAGGAGAGAGAGAGAGAGAGAAAATACATCGAATGTAAATGCTAGGGAGATGTGGTTCCTGAATATATAAACTAGTGATTCTCAACCACTGTATCGCGGCACTTTAGTCTTTTTCGATATTCTTGAAGTGTGCCGTCACTGCCAGGCAGTGGCACCTTCTGAAATGAAAATTATTTACTTCTTTACGTTTCTTTATTAATTGACACTACATTCAGTCCAAATATTTATTTGCATTATCATTTTTACTCCTAAATATAAATGAAGTTATGAAAAAACAGCAAGCTCAAATTTCGCATTAAATGTAATTTATAATTTATCATTAAATAAACATTTTGATCACTTTGTAATGCAATGTTCGTTGTATTTTTCATTGAAAATTATTATCCTATGCTAATTTTGCAAAATATATTATAGGTACATCAATCATTAAGCGAAATAAAATTCTGTTAATTTATCTTATTGTCAGTGTGCCGTTAAATTTTTAAATTATTAAAAGTGTACCGTGACGAAAAAAGGTTGAGAATCACTGCTTTAGACCAAGGGTGCAGGTGAGTTTGTAAACCGCGGGCCATTTCTGAGATTCTGGCCTGTCCCTGACCTGGCCAGGCCCACAGTACAGCGACTCGTTGTCAGTGCCAGAAGGGTCATGAGATAAGCCTATTGACAAAGCCTATTGACATCTCTAGCTTTCTTACTTCTGCAATATACAGGGTGAATCACCTACGACATCCTACCTGGAATAACTTTTATACTGTTTGAGATAGGAAGACGTGTTCCAAACAAAAGTTGTTTTGTTTCGAGGGATCCACTATGTACATACATAACTTCTCTCAGCTGCAGATGCTTAAGATATTTCAAGGTCACTTCTGCTTTTTTTTAATAGAAATGTATAGTTTTTCTTGCACCGATTCAGGCGCGCATTAAACGGTAAACGGACTAAGCGGCCGCGTGGAGCCCCGAGCAGCCAAGGGGTCCTGGTGGAGCCCGGAGGTCTAAAAATATTATTTATATATATTTTTAGATTTTAGAAATGACCGAAAAGATTTAAGAAATGCTCCTTAAAATAATCAAACAAATCTAAAAACAAAATGTTAAAGTGGTCTAAATTGTACTGTTCAACTGTTTATAAATGCTTAATAGTGACGTAAAGTAGAACGACATACTTTAACCCTTTGCACTCGAGGCCTTTTGCGCTCGGGCGAACCAGCAACAGCAACTCGAGACGATTTCGGCTATACACAAGGCGAGCAGGAACGCGGCAACCGTCTCGTGCGTTGTCTCGCCCGTATGCCGCACTCGTGACGAGAGCAACTAATAAATTGGTTAAGTGTCAGAGGAAAGAAAACGATTAGTCGTTACTTACGTTCACTGAACAAATGTAACATACTCAATGAAATAAGTAACAACTTTATAAATTACAGAGTAGCTGAAATTATAAAACATGGGAAGAAAATTAGAATTAATATAGTATTGATATATATATTAATATAATATTGAGATTATACGCTTGTTAAAATAATTAAACGTTTTTGCGACGTTAGTCACTCGAGCTAATAGCTTCTCTTTAAATATAAATGACTTAAAAATACTATACCTGTGTATGGAAATATAGTCACATTAAATAAGTAGTCGTTTAATATTAGAAAGTTTATTTATACAACGAGTATAAATAAAATAGAGCTAATGGGATTGATAGCAGCATAATAATAAAAGAACTAAACGTTAAATAAAATATTGTTCTGATAAATTAATCAATCAATTCCCTGTCTTACATTGATTTACTTTCTCGTCTGACTGACTAATCCTTTCTCACATTGACTGACTAATGTAACAGAGGTAATATTTGACAATTTTAGATTATAATGTAATATTTGATTAATTTATCGTAAGACTTATTCCTACAATTCTCTTAACCCTAGTACGATTTAATACTTGCGCAAATGTTATATGATTTGCCCTCCAGCAGAAATAACACAGCCATATCGCCTTCTCATCGCCTTTCTCAAAAGAAATAGGAACATTCATATAGAAGCTTATTTAGGAACATATTTCCGATTCCAATTTCGCGTCTGCGAAATAATCTACTTCGGTTCTATCTTATAGATAGCCAAAATACCAGATTCGATCAACTAACAAGGAAGAGCTTTTGATTTTAAATAATATAAGATAAATTTAACACGCTAAAGGTCTTAGATACCGATATTAAAAATTTTCTTTGTCAAATCTTTCATCGCATTCATTGCGTTTTCAGTACTAATCCTTGCGAGCAACAGCTACCTGTATTGCGAAAATAGACGTATCAATGGTGACACACGTAATGATATGATTTGAGATCAAGAAACCCGCTTCTATATTATTTCTCCCTGCTTTCGTACTTGGCTTTTTTAGTATTTACCACTCAAAGTGAGAAAACCGAAAAGTTTGACAGGTACTCATTCGGGTTTCTATATTATGCTATACATACCAATAGAAAAATATTGCCTCTAATCTCCAGTTAAGAGTAAAACTGAATACACGCTATTTAAAATTGAGTAACTTTTTTTAAAATCGAACGAAACGACGTGAATTTTTTTAAGAAATCAAGTGGATTATTTTACTAAGTGACATGTACAGAGAATTCCGACAAATTAAGATTAGTAGAAATTGTCAGGAAAAATATCGAAGTCGCGTTTTTCAACCTTTTTATCCGGCCTTGTAATGGAAGTTAAACAACACACTTTGTCCAATTCTATGAGATTAGTTTATGCTGAAAATTTTATTGAAGCCCATCGAAAGAAGTGACAGGCATAAATATATGTAGACTTTTGACAAGTAGTGAAAATTGCGATTTTTTTCAACTTTACGTAATTATAACTCACAACAACGATATTATAATATGAACAATAAAATTTTCAGACCTCCACATTCTTCCTTACGGTTTTTATCAATTTGAATTCTTTCCTAATTCTTTGTATATATCATTTAGTAAACCAATCTACCTGAGTAATAATAAAATTTTACGTTATATGGTCAAATTTTAAAACAAGTTATTCAATTTTAAATGGCGTATATTCAATTTTACCGCTAACTGCACCATCTGTAGACGTCAATTAAGTTATATCATAAAAGAGTATAAAAAATGTACCCTTTGCACCGAATTCATTAACGCTATTCATTCGTACATCTGCGACGATTAAAACAGCCAGAAAATTGCATCTCAAAGAGAAAAGATGAACTTACTTCTAAGATCCAGGTAAAACCAGTGAATATTCTACATGCGATAATTAAATTAATATACAATATGCAAGTATACAATATGAGTATTCTACATGCGATAAAAAAACGAATTTTTCGTCACTCTATTCTCTTCCGCTGCCGGTCGTTACCGGATTAATTGCATTTCCAAGCTCTTTTATATCTCTGATTTTAAGGCAGTTCAAAACTCAGTCAGAACGTTTGACGTCTCTGAAGCCAAGTGAGGATTGGAGATGCAATTAATACTTTTGTAGGCGTCAAATTGGATCGCTTAAAAAATAAGGACTCTATTGTTACCAAAATCTACCGCTACAATTCGACCATCATGAGTCAATGCAATCCCGGATGGACGGTCCATTTCCGTTATTCCTGATCCGTAACTGCCGAACTTCCATATTAAAAACCCATGTCGGTTGAATACTTGAATTCTATGATTCTTCGAATCTGCCACGATTATATTGCCTAAAACGTCTGTTATCACACCCTGTGGCCTGTTGAAGAGTTTCTCGCTACCAGCAGAATCGCACTGTAATACCCGTATTTCTGACAAACTACTGTTAATTATAAGTACTTTATGATTATTGAAATCAGTAACGACGATTTCTCCATCAATATTGAATGCCACACCGCGTGGCGAATCAAGGAGGTACCACATTTTTGAGTTGGTCTCATGTCCGTATTTCCTGAGGTATATACCATCCTTAGTAAATAGTTGGATACGATGATTCCTCGTATCTGAGACAACAATCTGACATTGCGAATTTACGGCAACGTCCCAAGGGTAATTGAATTGCCCTGTTTCCTGTCCTTTCTTGCCGAAGGTGAATAAAAATTGACCGTCCATGGTGAAAGCCTGCAAAATAAGAGAATTTAAAAATTATACTCGTAATGAGGTTTAAACTTTGACAATTTGAGATTATTTCGGAATAGAAATAATGTATGGCAAAATAAAATCGTTGTGTTTATACACATTTTGAACAAGAGCGGGGGTGGCTAAGTGTGAAGAAAAAATAAGTAATAGAGATGAGGAGAGGTTATAGTTAAGGGATATTGAAGAAGAAGAAGAAATGGGAAGAAACTCAGGTGAGGTATAGTGAAAAGAAATTTCCTTAAATTCAGATGAATTGCCTACGATTCGGGGAGAAGTATATCGAGGAAAGGATGGAGCAAGAAATCTCATGCTGGAACACGTTGAAACAGAGGGATATGTGGACATTGAAAGGCAGTGGACAAGAAGCAAGATAAAAGAGTCGAGATATATAATCCGCAATACAAGAAATGGAATCATCTGTCTTTCCCAGAGTATCTAGAGGAAGAGGGATGGCAAGGATGGGAGGGAGAGGGAATAATTTTTGAATATTTGTGAATAGCGAGCGATTCATTGAAACATATCAATTTTACTGAGCTGATAAGACTTTGATGATCTGACTTGAATGTATTTATCATACCGATATTTTGGATTTACGAATATTTCTCGTTCTATAATTTATAGTAAATCAAGTATCACGAATGACGTGGCATTAGCCAAATCTGTTGTTCAAATTGACTACGTTAGTTAATTTAATTATACTTTTGTACTGAAAATGTACTAACTCGGTAGATACAGGAATGGAAGAATGCTAGAAGGAAATCGATAAAAACAAACAGCAGGGAATATTAAATCGAAATGGGAGGAATGAAATATTACTGTCAGAAATAAATAGATGAGGAATTATAACAAAGAGAAGGGAAACCGGACAGCAGAAATAGCAGCACAAAAAGCTTTACATAGATACAAGAGCAATACGAAAGAATAAGAAATAGTAGATACATTCCAAGATCTGAATTAAGATAGTTCATAGATAACTATGATAACTAATGATATTCCGGTAATGAATAGACTGCTGAGCTCTGTGCAAAATAAACCATATGTAATGTCAATATAGAAATTGAAATCTAAATAGAAATTTATTATCATAATATGTATATTTACGTGTATACGTATATATACGTATTTTACTGTTGATATTTTGTATGCACTTGGACACAGAATGAATTTTTTATATTGTTTGTTCATATGATTTTTTTATAAATGCATAAAATCCGCAGTCTATTCATTAACGGAGTTATCTAAGCACTATCTTAATCCCTATGATATACTGAAATCATACACAGCTTTTTTTGATAAAATCAATAAATAACAAGTCCGTATTCATTTTTATTACCTGTATCCGATGGTTGTCTTTATCGGCGACAATTATTCTTTTGCGGGAATCGACTGTAACACCCGCTGGGCGGTTAAATTGGCCTGGATCTGTACCCAGGGTACCGAAGCTTCTTACGAAGCCACCGTCTAGTGTAAATATTTGTATACGGTGGTTCGATCTGTCACTGACGACTACGTGACCTTCGTCATCACAGGCAACTCCCCAAGGACGGCACAATTTATACAGATCGTTATCATTGGTACCGATGATTACTGATGGTTCAACCGGTTCACCAGAGTTCAGCGTTCGAACCTCTTTGGGAAATATGTGCTTTGGCATGGTTTTGTGTAAGATTGGCATCGGTTGTGTTTCGCATGGATCGTTAGAGATCTGTAACAACTCCGGATTGGTATCAACCACTTCTCCGAAGTTCCCTACAATCGGTACCAAATTCTTTTCTATCTCGCCGTTTACAATACAGTCCATATCCTTCTCCCAGTAGAAATACGGAATTGGTTCAGTGCACTGCAAATAAAAATAGTAAATAAAGAAAATATTATCGAATGTTTTATTAATGAATGAATTAATAATGAATGAATTATTAAACGAGGGGTTCCTAAAGTTTTGTCTACGTGGGTCAAATTGTAAATTCAAAAATCTTTGTTATGCCAAAAAACCTGTTATCAAAAAATATGTTGAAATTGATAAAAAGTTAGACACAAGTGAACCATTTATACTAACTTCATAACATTCATATTACGAGTCTTTTATAATAATTTTTGACAAACTATAGGAACACTTCAAAGGATAAGGAATATATCTACTCGAATTTTTGAAATCGACTATCATAAAGAATAGGTGACAAGTAACTGATTTGAAATAAGATATTATTTCATTCACATTTCAGAATAACATTTCTTTATGGAGTTACGCCGGTTTTCTATCATCCCTTTTACAAGCAAGTGGATATTATTTTTCGTAGATACTGGAAGATCGGCCAGATCCAAGTTAATCCTCCACATTAAACTCACTATTTCTAACTTGAGCCAATCATTTTTCTTCTGCTTAGAGAGCAGCAACTTCAAATGTACAAGCAGAATATTTTTTGTTACAATTCTAACACTCAAGCCCTTTCGAAACCTAAATAACATAATATGGCGAAATCAGTTTTCTTTTCTTCATACTAAAAAACCACTTTAATGTAGAAATCGATTTAAATCAACAGTGTTTGAGAGTTGTGAGATTACTATTTTTTCGATAGGCTTGTAATATGATGCTAAAACAAATATCTATGCCGAAATACGATGAGAAAATGAAATTTGAAAACCGTTACTGAACCTTTGCACTAAAAATTTACTGTCTAGTAATCATAAATGTTTTGTATGAAATACCTTAGCAAACATCGCGTGAATGATCGCCAAACAAAACATATTAGCATGTGGACATTCTATTTTGAAGATCCCGGTAAGCTGGTCAAAGAGATGATATAAATTCTTCTTGTTGTTCTCCAGCGTATTGTATATCGATTTTAGAGTAGCAGTTTCATTTCGTTTAAAAAGCTCGTTTTTTGCTAACAAATACAGTTCTCTAGCCTCTAAAATGGCAATTGCATCCTCTATGTATGACTTCACTTTTATTTCTGCTTGTCTTGCCTGGTTTTCTATATCTTCTTTTTGTAACTGTGAACAAACGTTAAAAAGATTGTACTATTTAATATAATATACATTTTTGCATACGATGTGGGAATTTAGAACATTATGTAAGAAAATTTCAGAATTTAGAAAGGGGCATAAGTGTAAGAAAAATTGTGGGTGAGATGGGAAATGAGAAGCCGATGGAGTCGATGATGAAGATGATTATAAAAAAGAAAAAATGAAATGGGAGTAAACAGACTCAGGAGTTTAATACATGTCATTAATTTAGTTATTAGGACGCACGTCGCTAAGGCGGACGTACGCACACTTAGACATAAATACCCTTTAATAGTTGTGGATTAGATGTAGTAAGTTTGGTACATATTATTGTTAGATTTATTTTATTAGGAGTATGGTGAGGAGGGGTGAGTATGCTTGAAATATTATTAATAAGAAGAATATTTTGATTGTAATCGAGTCCTTCTTCAGGGTCGAAAGGCTGGAAGTAAAATCTACTCTATTCTACATTTTTGCATACAATTAATGTAATTTAGTATATATTGGGTAGCATATATTGGTAGAAAAGTATTGAGAGATTTCTGTTATTTTTTTATTAAATATATCTCTCATTCAAAATGAATTTTATTCGAGTATATATTGGCCATTATTATCTATGACCTTTTTCCACTTTTGGGGTAGAGCCATAATCTCATCGGAATAGAACTCAGTGATTAGTTGACCAGAGCGAGGTGCATCTTCAACATCGAAATTTCCAGAACGGAAGCGAGCAAACCATCTACATGCTGTTGCATTTGCTAAAGTATCTTGACCGTAAACACCACGAATTTTCTCCCAGGCTTGTGCAACTTTTTTGCTATTTGGCGTAGTAAAATTGCAAAGCATAGCGAATTTCTTAAAAAAATTCACTCATTTTCACACTAATATTGCTTTTGATATGATTGACGAAATACAAAACTGTCTTCATAAAAATTGTAGACTAAAATGTCGCATCAGTATGACGCAATCTGATTAGTGTTGCCCGATACATGACATCAAACAACATCTATATAGTGATAGAAATCTCTCAATACTTTTCCGGCTATCCAATATTTATATGCAACTGAAAAAATATACATATGTACGGGGTACAGAGTGTTCCATTTGAGTGTGAAGTGAGAACAGTAGAATCATGGTGGAAATACAGAAGATGTAGAATTAGAATTAAATATAGAATAGAATTCTTCCAATGGTATCATTTTCGTCATCTACCTATATAGTATAATATTTCATATAGATGCCATATTGACAAATGATTATCTATTATTTTCAAACATAGAAACTGCTAAAAACGACAAAAGTGCCAAGCTGCGCTATTGAAAGTTGAAAAAGCTTGAATGGTAATTCTAAAAAACTGAATATTTGCTATTATCAGTTTCCAAAGCATGCAGTGTTGTAAAAAAAATTATATTATTTCGTTAATAATAAACCCATTTACTTCGTTCGCGGCTCAAATTAAAGCTTGAATTACCTAGTTTAATTCATTCCATCTAACAATTTTATCGACTTCTATGGGATGAAAATCGACTTCGAGTCATCCCTTCACTAATTACGAAAATTGTTGTTCAATTTTGATCGTGAATAGATTTACTTCGTTCATTCCTGAAATTTAAACTTGTGATCAGGAAAACGCTAATTTAAAAACTGGTTGTTCTGAAAAGTGTTATAAACTTTTCAAACAAGTTAACAGAGTGTAATTTAAACTTTTTAAGTTAAAAATTAGTTTCCACTTTCAACATTCCTTGGCTGTCCCTCATTTTAACACAAAATACAATTAATGAATAAGACGTTACAAGGAAGGGTGACTAGCTGTTTCAATCAGCTGCTTAACAGCACACCTTATATATTTCTACCATGAGTGAAATATCTCGTACGGGTTCAAATTGCCAAAAATATGACTGAAGGAAAATTGTTTGGTACAAAGAGGCATATTATTTAGCACAGGTATTTTTTAAATTAATAAACTAATGGGGAAAATTTCAAGATGATCAATATTTTCAAAATATCATAACGTGTGTGAAGTTGAATTCAACGACCTATTATAAAATATCATTGAGCCTTGATCAAAGACATTGTTCACTATTAAAGGAGCATAAAAGAGAAATTCTACTAATTAAAATTAATTTGTAGAAGAAATTTATAAGAAAGCCATCTTTTAACTGAAAAAGAATAGCAAATTTTATGTTGAGATTGGATATCAATCGTTGACATCAATTAGGATAGCAATTTTTCATTTGAGAGAGATGATCCATACTCACTGTAAAAATTTCAGCTGCTTTTTGCCAATACTTTCCGAGATACAATGGTTTATGTTAAATATGATTGTAGTAACAATGTTTAATACTATTATAAGGTAAACGAATTTTTTCCCTAGAAATTAGAAATCCGGATCACTTAAATCGGTTTTGGATATGTGTTAGATACTGGACTGTTCGAGATTCATTGATAATTTCAGAAATTGCATACTTATAATGAAAATAGTCAAACTCCACTTTTTTATAACTTCGTTAATATTGGATGAAATGCGTTTAACTTTAGCTAATAATTAAACTTAACGTCTCCACTTTCTTTCATGTCCTCTGGAAGTTTTATGTGAGTTGCCTCAAATAGGATAAGAGTCAATCGAAAAGAAAATTTTGCCTAGTCTTATCGGAGGGAGATCGATTAGCAAAATTGTATTGTAAATAATTTTGTTAATAGTGAACAGATTTTACTAAAAATTTTAAGCAAATTAAAGCTTCAAGTCTCTACTTCAATTCATTTCCTTGCACGATATTATCTATTTTGACTCATAAGTGAAAAACATCAACGTCGAAGCATACCTTGTTCAATTCTAAACATTGTATCTTCACGAAAAATATTGTCAAATTGCAATTGCTAATAATGTTGTTAATAATGAATCGACTTCTTTCATTCTTAAGTCAAGTTGAAGTTCGATGTCTTTACTTTCTGTCATCTTCTCTGGCAAGTATGTGTAAATTGACTTCTAATTGAAGAAAATCGATTTTGAATCATATCTTGTTCAATTTTAAAGATTAAATTTGAACGAAAAATATTTTCAAACTTCTATTGTTAATAATTTTGTTAATTTTTGTCCAAGTTACCTCAATGCTAACTCAAATTGAAGCCGTAAGTTTCTACTGTTCATTTAAAAAAAAATAAGGAGATCTTGATATCATAATACCTTGTACATAGTTTGTCTCCGGATTAAACAATCAAATTGCATCAATATATTCTATGAGAAAGGGTAAGAAAAAAAATAAGATGGAGAGAGACAGAATAAGTCTGCAAATGCTTTATAAAAAAGTTATAATAAAAATGTGAAACGTAAAGTCAATAGCGAATTCGTTGTTAGTACATCGGAACGTAACAATAAGGCGATGGTATTTTCTGACCATGTTTACTATTTGAAACAGTCGAACGCAATAAAACAAATTGAATTATGAAAACATCTGTTTTGTTATGATAAGTGACCGAATTAGAATCTATTAAAAAATGTCAATTCCTGGCAAGAACTAATAGAAAGGTTTAATACTGGACTCGCTAAACTAAAGTCAGATAGAGATGAAATTTGGAGAATGAAAAATTATTAGAATAATTCTTAAGATATCAGGCTTGCATTCGCAACAGGGAACGACACTTTCAAATAGAAACATAAACTTCTTTTCAATGTAATAAAATGTAATAATAAAACGTCTGCAGAGCTAAGTTTATATAACATTTTTTTCTTATTTTTGCTCATAGAATATATTGATGTGTACCTTTACTACACCTGTACACCTGTGTACTATTACTACATACTTTATATACATTAATACATTGACTTAAAAAGCGTAATTGTTCTTTGAAATTTCAAAAATACTTCGAATTACCTGTGCAGTATTTAGTTCTTCTTGAAATCTGTCAATTTCCTTCTGTGCATCACTTATTAATCGTTTTAGCTCGTCATATTCTGTTACGTCCTCCGCGCGACTCTCCGTATGCTGTTCAATTCTATTTTCTGCATAAAGCGGGCTGCGAGATGGAGAGGACAATCCTTGCACCCCGCGACATGCATCGGACAAAACTAATTCCGAGGAACTACAATTAGATGATAGACTGATGAGGCGATCAGAATTGACTCGAGAGGTAGAGAGGCATAGTGTGGAAGAACTCTGAAAATTTATTTTTAACGATAATTAAAAAATGAAATTTAGATGATGTCATTTATTTCGAATTATCCGTTTACCAAAACTTCGGAACTATGTGCACACAGGCTACATAGACATTCTGTAATGCTGCCATCCGTAGATGTGATGGAAGATCTTCTATTACACGATAGCTGAGGGTTCCAGGTAGCGATGGCTACGCTTAGCTGTAGAGAACTGCCTATGCTCGTTGACGTGCTGGCGTTGTTATAGTCGTCGACAAACTGCGAGGAACATCCAGAGTTCGTTCTGCTATCCGAATATGCTGCACTTGATGTACTCGCACTTGAAACGACTCTCATAGATGGCCGCGCGTACATGGACTGACTGGAACAGCCCTGTTGATAAATTTACAATTAAAAATTGTAATTGTACATTGATATTTCTTATAAATTATAGAGGGTGTCCCAGAAAAAGTGTTAGAGCCGAAGAGAGGTGATTTTTGAGGTATTTCTGAACAACAATTTCCTTTGGTAAAATGCAAAGTGAGGCACGGTCTTTAAATTATTAACGAAAAACACTGACCAATAAGAGTACGTCTAGCCCGCGCTAAGCCACGACCGAGCGCCACGATCCGAGCCAACCTATCCGCGGCTGGGCGCGGATCTTACGCGTGCTATTATTGGTCAGTATTCTTCGTTAATAATTCAAAAACCATGCCTCATTGCATTTTGGCAAAGGAAATTGTTATTCAAAAACGTTTACAGAATCACCTCCCATCGGCTCTAACACTTTTTCAGAAATACTCTGTATGTATAATACCAATTTAGGTTTACGGTGACGGAAACTTTAAAAAACTACCAGAAATTATCTGTATGTTAATGAGAATCTGATGATTTGCGCAGTTGGGTGAACCTGAAAATTTTCTTATGCAGGAACGTAGCGGATTAGAGGATTGACTAAAACATTCAGTTTAAGAGTACGAGAGAGGGAGAATGAAATAAGGGAAAGAAATAAGTAAAAGGAGATAGCTGGTATAGGGCAAGGAAATATGGTAGCTGTTAATAAGAGAAACTAAAGATGCTATGGGATATGAAAGTCCGACAAGGATGCAGCAACAAGATCGCCAAGTAATTGTTTACAACAGGCGTAAACGAAGCATAAAGATCAATAGAAGGGACAGAGAATCTAAATCAACTGAATTTAGCAAGAAGATGGGACTTATATTTAATCCTGTAAGGAATTTCATGACTACTATAGTTGGATTTCATGACTTATGCAATTAATATTTTCAATCAACTTTATAACGTATTTCTTTTTACCAAAGGTAAGGATGCCCGTACATGAGAATGCAAGATACTAATTATATACGGCCGCTTCTTTTATAGTTGCGCGTTGCTGTTGCTAGTGACGCTATAAATAAACAATCCGAATTGTTTAATGTTGGACGAGCGGCTGCCTGAGTCATTGGCGCGATTTCACAAATCGGTATATATTTGGTTTATTCTCATGCTCGTTACCTTAGAGTAGAGCTGCTCAGGCTTTGCCCGTACGGTCAAGGTATTTCGTTACAGCGGGCATAAACAATTCGGCGGGCACTGATCGAGGCCCGCGCGGGCAACTTCGGCACACTAAATTACTACTACTACTTTACAGACTTACTATATACTACTGTTTCGTTGTCGCCGAACAAATCTGAACCTGAACCACGAGGGCTGGTCCCCCACTACTGAATGCCTACTTGAAAAAAGTTCAACATCGAACCGCCAGTATTTTATGAACAAATTTCTAAAGAAATAATCATCATTGATGGACTTTAAAGAAAGTTATTGATTAAAATATAATAAACAAAATTACAAACTCATCGATAAGGGGAGTCTTATCCTATTTCTACAATATTTTTCATATTCAATCCTTGCAAAACCATTAAAAGTATAGTGAGTGTCGATTTTCAGTTAAATTTTTTATCTTAAATTCATAATTTTTATTTTTTAGGGTTAAGAGTGTGCAGAATTCACTGCCAAAAATTTGTGATAGAAAAGTACTTATACATATAAACAATATAACAAATTCTATCAATTTTTATTGTTTAGAAACCAATTGAACGTTAACAAGTAATCTTTTTTCATTCAAGATCATTCTTCATCTGACGCCTGATTGCTTTTTAATTACAGGAAATGTTTAAATATAGGAAATTAATATCAAATGAAATCAAGAACATTATCAAATTTTCTTACATTTCGTAACGTGTATCTTTTAAGTTCCAAAGAATCGCGTATTCAGACAAATAAGAATATTTTCGTTATGTATTTCCTCGATTAATTGCACAAGGATTATATCCATCTTCGTCCAACCTTTTACGTTATCATTATTCAAAAGCATCATGAGGCGCGTCATTATGCGCTGACATATGTAAGAATTAAGTATCACGTAAGTATAAACATTATGCAATTATATTACAATGTGAATAGAGTAAATATAGTAAGTATCTAATTTTGTAATGAAAAATACAGTACATGTCTATTAATCTAGTGTAAAAGTATAATGCGCGATAATGAACAAAAATTCTTCCACAAAAGAATTTCTTTATCTTGTAATATAATAATTGTGTAAATATCTATGTACCACAGAGCAGGGATCTCAGAATTTATCCCTCGGCCGGAAAGTGGAAACTACGCGACCATGGTAGGGACTGGTACTTGATGGGTTCGTTTCGCGAAGGCACATGAGGAGGGATCGAAATACGGGCGAAAAAGAGAGAAAGCGAGCCGTGCGGGATAAATTCTGAGATCCCTGCCAAAGAGTTCAGTTGACGGCCCGTTTTCTCTAGATTTAAGTAGCTAGTACATACATGGGTAGCAGTCGCTTCGCGCTATGCTAGCCGCTTGCATTGGCTTGGATTATCGAAACGCGAGAAGTTTATGGTATGCTGCAGATAAGTTAATAACTAACGTTCGATCTGCTTTCAATTGGGAGAGCACTATTCGTTTCGTTTTAGTTTTTTCCTATTATCGTGCGCAAAGAACCACATTCCCGCACGCTGAGGAAAGGGTGAATGTTCCTGAGCGTCAATTTGTTTATATCGCGTTTAGCCTCGTTCTGTAAACTTGTCAAAACTTGTGTTCCCTATTTTCCTCCCTGTATTTCCTTAGTGCGGCCACGAACCACTGATGAAAATAATAGAAATATACTTAATGTCGAACAAAATGAAAATCATGATTTATTAAAAAATATGACCATAAGTATACGGCAATAATGATAATAATAATAAATAAATGTGAAATATAAATTTGTAAAAGATTTTTAAATTATCATTTCGTATGCGGGGGTCAAGCCCTCCCACACCCCTCCTACCCCGCCCTCGCGCCACCGCTTTGCGCACTTAATAGGAAAAATAGTATACGATACGCGTGTCCTGCGTAGATGTATCTACATTCGTTTCTTTAGCAACTCCGCTCGTGCGCGAATCAACTACTTTGCGCACTTGTATCGTAATGTACTATTACGTTCTCCACAATGTCATTTCTATTTTCCTTGTTATCATCTTTGTAATCCGTAAGTGCTTTTCCAGTGTAGTTCACAGTTTATTAAGTGTTTAGTTAAGGGCGTTTTATTTTATATGTTTTTGATATGTTTGGTAACTACATAAACATTTGGGACATTTGTTATATGTGTTAGTTATTTTCTGTATTCAGCAATTAATTTTTATCATTTAGATGTTAATTAGAAAAAATGAACAATTTCCGTAAAGATTAACAAATTTTGTGCAATAATCAAATTGAAAACAATTAGAAACTATTACAAAATGAATAAAAATTGCAATACATTAAACGTATTCAAAAAAGCATTTTTTTTAATCCTTTGAAAACAATTTTCATTCTGATATCTTGTATGGTTTAGCAATTCCATAAGAATGTCATTAAATTTTTCGATCCGGACCACGGAAGAGTCAAAATGACCTATTTTTCAAATTAATAAATCATTTAAGAATAGACAGAAATTTTTACGCTTTGATGAGTGAAAATTGAATAATAAAATGATAATGATAATAATAATCATTAAATGACAATAATTTTCAAAATAATTACTCTTTTAACCTACGTCCATACATTAAAAATGATTCATCTTCTCTTCTTCATCTAAAGGTATACTACATAAAATTTTACATCAAAAAGATAAAGAAAGAAAAAAATTGTCTTACAGAATTAGTTATTTGCATATTTTAGAAAAAGTCATTCAAAATGTGCTGAAAATAAATAATGATTATAAGAAATGCCAAACAAGTAATTTTGACCTCCTTTGGTAGATCTAGTGTTAATCAGAAGCGATAACAAAAATTACGAATAACTGTGAAAAATCACAAGTGATTTAAAAGTAGCAGTTCTAATCAATACGACTTTGACTTTCTTTCCATGGCAAGTGCAACGTTCCCTCTTCGTACACGGCCACTCGAAACTAGAAACCGATTCAGTCCGATTCACCGCTCGCTTTTTTTACAAGTACGACCTTTATGCTAATTTGCAAGAACCACAACGGTACAAATATAAACTAGGAAATCAGTAAGAAGTATTATTTGATATTATTCTTTATTTATCAATGAGCCATGAATTACGAATTGTGATTTGTTAAAATGCCGGAATACTGAATGAATACTGATGTATGATGAATGCAAAGAAAGTTTTTTTTTATGGAAAATTTGCATGTAACAGAATGCAACTATTATACTTTAAAAATTAATGTATATATGAATGTATCTCTCATACTATGAAATTATACAACTAAAAATTTGTATAAATAGATTTCTTGAAACATGTTTAAAAAAAATGTGTTTTCACATAAAAATCGTACGAATAATAGTTCTTACTGACTTACTGTATACAGAAATGAACATAAATAAATACCTGGGCATCGCTGGGATATTTCTTACAAGTTATCGGTCGTTGTGCCATTCTTTCTACTTTCAGCAGCTATCACCGACGAACCATAAAAAATTATATATACTTGAAATAAAAAAATTCCGCTTAAGGAATGCGGAGTACGAATTTGTATCAAGTACTTCGCGAATTAAGACCTGTTGCGTATAAGCACGAGACTGACAGACGATATTGCAATTGAGCCCGATAAGCTGCCGTGTAGATCTACCCCGGCGTCTTCTGGGCAACTGAATCCTGTTCCTGTCTTGTTGCAACTTGCAACTTAAGGGATGGTGTTGCACACGGACCCAATCTCTGTCTCGTTCTCTCGTAGCACCCTCTACTCTCTACCCCTCCTTTAGCCTTACGCAGGTACCCATAGCACCGCACCACCAACTCTCCCTACAGTGACGTCTCATGAAAGTTTCGCCGGGCGAGCTTTCATCGATTAATCGAGAGAATGTCTTTCCATTCTGATCCAAACATATGATTCACACCCCCGCACTGGCCTTCCCACGCTTACGAGTTGTTGTTCCCTATTAGATGCTTTAAGAAAATCGAACAGAGGAAAATGAACGGCTGAAAGAGGCCATGTGCATTTTGTTAATGTGCGCTCTTTCTAAAGGGAGAAGCTTTGGCCTTGGCTCATACAATCTTCAGGTAGTTGCCGACCGACTACATTAGTCAAGACAAGAATTAACATTTACAAAGAGATTGACAGAATTAAAAATAGACAGTTGCAAATACAAGACGTTTTGTTTATTAATAATATATTATAAAAGAGGAATTTTAGTTATTCTATTATTCTGTAAAATGAGGGAATAAGTACTTTCGAAGAAAACTATACACTCGTGTGTATCGGGTTGTTAGAGCTTAACGTTGCCATGTTGTGAAGAATACAAGAATGCAAAGGAATGATAAAAGGCATAGATCACCATTTTATAAAATCGAGTTGTACTCCATAATATAATCTCCAGTCCTCCATTAAAAAGAAAATGTAATGCGATCATTGGATGAAAACGCAATATTACTTTTATTCGAAATACTATATGCTGTCTTAAGATAAACGGACCACCTTTTTGCTTTTTACTAGATGTTCTCCTTAAATATTTATTTCAATTAGATTGCAAAAATTAAAGAAATTTTTCTCACGTATTATCTAGTAAATTAAGTCTTCTACTATCTCAAAGATAATTGGATTATTTGATGCAATGTTAAAATAATTGTTGCCCTATTATATTAGTCGAAATAAGGCTTGAAAATAAACTACAAATATTAGACTTCTTCTATATTAAAAATCCATATATTAAAAGCAATGTACTTTTGGAAAATATTATTGAATTGTACGTATAGGCTTGTTAGAGCTGAACGTAGCTATATCTATCGAATTTCTCGTACTTATATAGAGTGAGAAATAACGAAAAGGTAACATTTAGAATAATATTGCTCAATTAGATGGCTAGTAACCTAAAAAATAATTTTTGTTTTATTATTGTCTAAACTCGTTTCATCAGTCTACACCCTATCACATTTTTTAAGTATTTATCATTGCTAGACAGCGGATGTTTATGCAAATTTCTAATTTTATAAATAAAATTAAAGAAACGAAATGAATATAAACATTCGCCTTTTCTTTTAAATATTATAATAAATTGTATTTTACTTTGGATATTTTGTGTTTATTTACGTACTATTGCATACAGTGTCTCTCTCTAAATTATTGGAAATTATCATAAATGCATAAACATCAGTAGTCTCATCATTACTCAATCAATTGCAATAGCCGAAGAAAGATATTTTTCTCGTACCAACGCTATCACTCCAAT